TTTTACCATCTGTCTTCATCTTTTTTTTTTCTTTTGCATTTTTTTCATTAAAACCTTTCATTTCCTTATGTTTTACACTCACTTCTTTCAATCTACATGATCCATAATTGGTGTTTTTTCCATCTTTGCAGGATTTTTTGCGACAAAATAACACAGGGAAGTTGTTGTGGCAAGTATTTGGTGTCCACGCTGCTAGTTTGTGTCTTTATGGAATAACTGAACATGAGGATATGATGTGGGATGCACTCAAGCTTGCAGGTTTTCATTTGTTTTTAAATTCACCAATTTAACACTCTACCATGAAGAAATAGCTGTAGAGTATGTCCTAGCATGAATATTGAAGACGTCCGAGAGTGCTCATAACCTTCACATGATTCCTAAAGTAGATGCTTGTCTTTTATGTGAAAAGGCCGCTTGTTTATAGAATCTTGGAGTGCACAGCTTACTGTGGTTGGTAAAATGATACAAAATTGTTATCTGATTGGGGCAAGAGGGTGAGGGGTTGTGTCCTTTGTACATGTGACTCTGTCTACCCCAGAACATATCATGCCAATGCTGAATATGAATAGAAAAATATCATACAATATGTAGCTAACAAGTATCAGAACAACAGATGTAATTAACCAAATTGGACTGTGTAAGCATGTGTTTCGCATCCTAGGGTTAAAGACAGAATTGAGGTGTCTTGCCAAACTAATAGAAGGGGAACCTTGGAACAACGGTAAAAGTTTTCTCCGCGTGACCTATAGGTCACAGGTTCAAGCCGTGCAAAAAGCCAATAATGTTTGCATTAGGGTGTGCTGTCTATATCACACCCCTCGGGGTGCAGCCCTTCCCCAGACCCTGCGTGAATGCGCCGGGCTGCCCTTTGCCCCATTAAGCATGTTAATCACTTCTAGTAAATTAGTGGGTGGGTGGTCTGTTTCTAACATGCACAAGTCATGATATTGTCAAATTCTTGGATCACTGTGTCTTTGAATTGTCTGCGTTAGTAGAAAATGTTGCCAAACTTTTGTTAGCTTCCTGCCTCCTAATTGTTAACATGTTTCTCAGTTTTTCCTAACAATATCTTGACAACAGTAAAGAGGACAATTCAGTTATTAACTATCTTATTTAACTAATGGACTTGTCGGCATAATCATGTATGATGCATTCAATAACATTAGATAATGGAAAAAATGAACTTTAGATATCATGTTTGAATATTCATGGTAACGGGAGCATGATCACTATTCTATCCAGTTTTCATGATCACAAGTTTTTGGATGTTGTATAATGCATCAGTTATAATTGGCACCATCTATGTAGCATGAAAAGAGGGATAGCATGTGGAGCCAAGTTATCTTTATGTGTCCTGTTTATCTATTTAAACAAGTTAAGCTTTACTTGATTGAATCCTGTTCAACCTTTTCTATTAGAACCTGCGATTACCTTTTGATTTGCATTTTACATCATTTTCAGGAAAAGACAAGGTTTGGTGTCTTTATCCCAACAAGAATGCACCAACAAATTCTGTCAAGGATAGCATGGCTGGGCTTTCTTTTGCAAATGTAGAAAACCATCCTGAGATGGTACGCCATCCTAACTTTTTACTTGGTAATATGGCTAAAGTTGTCATTGACAAGATGATTGTGGGGAAGTAAAAGTAGAAACAAAAGAGCAAGTTGTTTTCTCATTCTTTTCTTCTCTGGAAGCAATTCAGGGTAATGATTTCGAGACTGGGAAAAGTGAAAAGACATCCCAATACCTTAGGCCTTAGTAGAATATGATGGAGTTACCCACAAGGAAACTTTAGATATGTAAATTGGTTTACTTCTCTATCTCTTCAGAATAAAAAGAGGGATAAGCTATTTTGCTTCTTGTTTTTCTCAACTATTTGGCTTCCCTTAAATGAAAGATTCTGTCTTTATGTTTTTCGTGCCAGTCTTTGAGTTAACCATGGTAAATTTCACTCTCCCAAAGCCCCACCACAAACACACACAATTAGGAGCTCAAGAGGGGTCCTTTCCCATTTAAATCCCTTTGCATATCAATTTCCTCCCTAATGGTTGGAGATGTGGGGTTTTTACCTCTATGCTATTAAGTACAATGACAAAGACTTAATTGCGTGGAATGTACCTAATTATATAGGATGATAATGTTCTTCATGGTGCAATGCAGTTTCTTTTGAACAAGTGCTTGCCAATATTAGTTTCATATAATGGCAGTTTGACTTGTAGTTTTGCTTCTCAAACCACATGGAAGTGATCATTCATGTGAACTTTTGTTTATGTGATGGTTCTCATTTTCTATTGTATGAATATTGACTCTTTATGCTGCTAATATATAGGCAGATGGAGCCCATTCCTTGAATTTTATTCTAATTGATGGGACGTGGAGCAATTCGGGTGCAATGTTCAGCCGTTTAAAGGTATTTCAGCTCGCAACGTAACTCTTATTTTTTAAATTCAAATCAGATCATTAACTAACAAAATTTTTTACCATGAACATTGTCGGGTGGGGTGGGGTAATGATAGGATTTGTTTTTTAGTAACCGTGGTGTCTGAGTCAGCTTGCACGCACCTCAACCGTGGTGATTACTTCACTTGCTTTAAAGTTAGTTATATTATATAAAAAGGTTGGAAAACCTTGGGTGCAAAAGAATGATATAATAACTTGAGGTTGAACCAATTAGATTGTAGTACTTATATTACAGGACATTTAAAAAGCATTTTTGATGGACATTTGAAAAAGTTTTGTCTCTACTGTTATGATTACTTTAGTTGCTTTAAAGTTAATTACGTTATATGCACTGTTTCAATTGCAGTTGTGCATGTTAGAACCACTTAAATTTAATAATGAAGCTCTATACGAGAAATAATAAGATAATTGACTTGCATAGCTGCCAAAAGGGCAGAACTTTTGTTTCTTTAATTTATATAGAACTTATACTTTAAAGGGCACCCGAAATCGCTAAAAGGAGATTCCACTGGTTGGTAGTCCAGTGAATGAGCAAATGATTGACATCTTCATCAACTTGCTTGGACAAAATAACAGCAGCAAATATGTATTCTATTTATCCTTAGTTTTTAAAGATGGCTCTTCCCTCTTAAGAGAATATATATATGATTTGATGGTGAACTTTCTAGCATTCCGTTTCCAAATCCACCTGTCTTGTTTCTTGTTTTGTTTGATGCAGGCAAGTTAGTATCTATTATCATTTGAACAATCTCAAGTCTCATATGTGCCTTCGGAGCTGGATACCTCAAATGCCCTGGACACCATCTCTCTAATTTCATTAGCCACACTTGCATTTTTCTCACTTGAGATGGAAAAAATCTCTAGCTCTGACCTTAATGGTGTAAAACCAAAGTCTGATACCACAATCTTATCCTACCGCCCCTCCCAAGCAAATATGTTGAATGTTTTGTCGAAGTCCTCCCATCCCTTCATTATCTCTCTCAGAATGACTAAATTGCATGGACAGTTGTAGGAGAGGTTATTCATCTAGTGCTGTTATCCGCTCCATATTTGTATTCTCTTATTTGGAGGTACTTCCCAAGTCATAAGAAGTACAAAAGAGTGGCACATGTGTAAGAAGTACAAGATTTTTAGTTGGATTTAAGTGAGTAAAACTTGTTACAACGAATTATCCACAATATTTCTTTAGTTTCACCTCTTTTGAGCTGAGGGTCTATTAGAAACAGCTCTCTACCCTACAAAGGTAGGGAGGGGTAATAAGGTTTGTGTATATCCTACCCTCCCTAGACCACACTTGTGGGACTACACTGGGTATGCTGTTTTTGTATTTCTTTAGTTTCACCTGTGTAGCCAAAGTTGCATTGATGTTAGGATTTATTTGAGTTTGGGAAATGTGAATCGATTTCTCAATGACAAACAATTGATCTGATATGTTTAATGATTAGGATCGGTACAAGGTGATGTGGGGGGAGGAGGAGATTCCTTGCATAACGCTGAACACAGGAGCATCCTTGATGCATAAACTCAGGTAGGATACATGATCCCAAATCTGCAGCAGACTCATTCATCTTTATTACTTTCTCTTTGGCTTTTCCGGAGTCATATCTAACGTTTTGGCCAAATGCAGACCCCAACCATCATGGGATCGTACATGTACAGCAGCTGCAGCCATAGGCCTCCTCGATGAGCTGCATGACCTTCCAAATTTTGTTTCCCATGGATTGGATAATCAAGCCAAAGCACTTGAAGATGCAGTGGAGGTTTTGTTCGAAGCACTCACAACTCGACGTCTTCGCATGGGCAGGTCCATCACCCGTAAAGAAAGACACAATCATGACATCTTTTAACAATGGGCAACAGTCGTTTCACCTTTCTGGCAGATTAATATCAGCATTTTTAGAGGTAAAAAACGCGTCTTTACAAACATTTCACTGTTGACAGACAAATGGTGAGGCCAAAGGCAAGAAACCAGGCCACATATATACAGCAGAACATCAATCGGACTAACATGTTGTCATAGAGCAGTAATATGAATTATATGAATTACAAGTACGAGATAGATCCACATAATTTTGGACAATTTCAAATTTTCCCAATTTTTAACACAATGTTTTGGTTTCTCTGTAGTTTTGCTTCTTCATTGAAGTCTTTATGTACATACTTTCAACACATGTTGCACAGACTTTTTTAAAATGCCATACATTATTTCTTAGATTTTATAAATTATATCCTTGATGATATCACTTAAGTCAAGAGAGTTCAATTATTGATTTTTTTTTAATAACATAAAAGTGCATGTCATAATGAATCAATGTCTAGTTGGATGACATTGAATTGATGTTCTTGTTGTTAAACTAGCATGTCTCTATCTATCTCTTTTTGTTGTTCCACATTTGAGTATTATTGAAATTTGAAAGCGTCGAGCCGAGAGATAAGAGATTGAAATTCATTGGACTGCACATGTCTTCTTCACGATTTCAGAGAAATGAAAATAAATTCTCAAATATCCATAAACAAATCTGTAAAGTTTTCTATAAATGTAAAATCATGAATCAGATAAAAAAATTTTGATTTTCAGAAACTACTGGATCATTCTAGCTGTCCAAGTTGTGTAAGTTTGACTGGACTCATTAACTTCGTACTCAATTCCGGACTTGGTAAACTTTCTAAATCTGAATCGTACACTTTTTCTAGTGAATCCATGTCATTAACCCCAATTAAAAAGAACATAAAATATAATTTAAGCTGTAGTTTTTGTCAAACATAAAAACTCCTATTGGAAATACAAATATTGTCAAGAATCTAAACAAATTTGAACAGCGACATCATACGTTCTTCAGACAAATCTGATTTTTTTTAAAAAAAAACTCTTGGGAAACAATTTTTTTTGAAATTTGATATATCCTTGAAACAATCATGTATAAATTACAATATCATATTCCTCCTTTTTCACTTATATATTTTCCATCCAAAACTTTTTTTTTGGGGGGCCTCTTTTGTAAACTTATCTGTGAGCAGTGACCAACGTCTCTATAAACCTCAATCCATCAAATCTGGGCGCAAATTTATCTGTAGATGTTGATGCTTTCACCGATTTTGAACAATCTTCATCAGTTTTCTTCAAATTATCGTCCTGAAACAAAAGGAAAGAAATTCAACATCTGAATTCAAAATAATAGTAAGATTGCCTTATTTTAAGTGTTTTTAAGTCAAAAGTCATAAATTCAAATTTCAAACTGCAGGAAACTCAACGCTAATTCCAGCGAGATCTACTAACTCTCAGCACCGGATAACTGAGTTCTCACTTCCGATTCATAAAATTCATTGCTTAACAAAATAAGATTTGATTTTAACAAATAAAAAAACAAAAGGAGATAACTTACTCTACACTCAAACGACATTAAAACTACATAGAGACAGAGCAAAATCCATTCGAAAAAAACAAAAGAAGAGATAACTCTCTCTACACAGAAACGACATTAAAGCTACTGAAAACAGAGAAAACAGAGCAAAATCCATTAAAAAAAACTTGAATGTTTACCTTGTGAAGAGAAATTCGAACTTTGGATACAGAAGAGACGGTGGCGGTGGCGGCAGCAGAAACAGAGGCTGCTAAGAGAAGTGATTTCTTCATGTTGTTTTTGGATGGAAAAATAAGGGATTTTGGGGAATTGAATGGATGGTAGTTTAGAGAAAGTGGGAGGAAGTTGGGAGGCTATTTATATAGGAGTAATTGGGACCATATACCATATGGGCTCACAAAAAGTACGCCGCAATACAAAATACAACCATTCTCTATTTTATTTTCAAAACTAAATAAAAGTATATTTATTAGAGTAGGCCCCAATAAAAATGTAGGACGTGAAAATTAAATCAGTTAATCACTTATAGATTCGATATAAATTATTAGTTCCATTTTAACAAATTTAAATGTGTTTTCGGTACTTCTTCTGATATTGCAATAATTAACTTAATTTACATGCACTCTTTAATTTTTGCCAAGCTTAAGAGTATTTTCAACACTTCTTTAGATTTTCTATTAAGAGTATATCATGCTCCTATAAAAATTTAAGATCACTTGCCTTGACAGGTGACTCATCAGAGGCGTACATATCTAAGTTTAGCTACTCAAATAGAAATATATTTTTAAGACCGACAGTAAATAAAAGCTAAAATTATTAATTTTATGTCAAATTTAAGATATTTTTAATATTTATTTCGTTATCTTTGTTGAGTTTCAAGTATGATATGAATATATTTCTTAGAAAATGTGTTGCTACACATTACAATATTTATACTTCCAAAAAAATAATTAGACGAGACCAGAAAAAATTAATTAATCAAAATAACGAATAATTTAAACATATAAAATTTTAATAATGTGAACAAATAATATACTAATGGTTGTAACTTGTAAGAAAGGTCCGATATATATTTATTTTTAATTCCCTTCTTACCTCTTGTATAATGCACAGGATGACACGAAAGATAATTTGCACGAGTATATTATTTTATTTTCTACGCCTCCACTTATTATTACTTACCATATACAATATTAAATTGGCACATACTTGACAAAATAATAAATAAAATGAGAATTTCATCATCATTTTCTGAATATAATAAATTTAAGAGAAAAATACTATGATTAATACTAAAACTTAAATTTAAAGCTAAATTTATTTTTTTAAAATTAGAACAAGGAAATATAGATATAATTTTTATGGGTCAAAGGGAATGAATTTAGATTAGGAACACCCTTTTATCAAGTGCACGCATTCCAACTCTTTTAGATTACTGGCTCTGTCTTCAATTTATATGATTTATTATTAATTTTTTTTAAAAAATTAATTTAATATTATATAATTAAAATTAAATATCATACGATAGGTGATATTAATAACAATTCTTTTTATATATATATATATATATATATATAAAACCCAACTAGAATTACAATAAATTATAATAATATGCTCAAATTTATGGTTTTTCAAATTACATAATATTATATTTTAAAAATTAAATTTATAAAATTTAAATCATGAATCTGACTCTAAGTTTCGATACACGTCTGCCGTGCCAGGTTGGATTATTTTGGGAGACAAATCTTTGGTTGAAGTTGATAGGTAGATATTTTGGAGTTATAGACAAAGCAAATGAGGACACGTGTATGCGTTATAACAGTCCACGACATCCTTGTTGTGTTTCCATGGCTCCTCTTCGGGCGGAGAATTTGGAAAGTTTACGACCATTTATTATCGAGTTTTTTCTTCGAATTTTAGATATTCAAATAAAATCTCTAACTCTAAAAAATAAATGAGTAAGTATCGTTTCGCAACGATAGCTGAAGTATATTTCAAAATTGAGAAAACATGTAATTTCACTTTTCATCTATTTATATTTTTTCAACAAATTGTTATTCGTCCGTCGTATTCTGCGATTGCAAAAATTAGAATTTAAATTTTAAAATATTTATAATTAAACTATAAAATAGCTAAATCTTTCTTAAATATGTTTTTGTGGTTTCGTGGTTGATTTGATTTTTTAACATTGACCTTGTAGTGTCCTCTCACGTTTCTCCTTTCTCATTTCAATTTATAGAATTCACAAAATTTAAAAAACTTTTAAATACTTAACACAAATACAATTATATCTATTTGTTCTTTTCGAAAATTCAAAAGTTATTCTACTCCAAGTAATTTGGAATCACAAAATAATATATATAAATAAATAAATTACAAAGTTAATGAAACAAAACACTCAAAGTAGGAGAAAAGGACGCATTCGTCCAATTCCTAACCAAATGGAGGTTGTTAACAAATATTTCTTCCATCCCATTTTTACTGGCAACGTTTGAGTTGATACATTTTCTTTTTTATAAAAATAAATATTGTAATCTAAAACAATTCTTAAATGATAGATAAAATATTATTAGAGTGAAATTTTTATATATTAATATATCAAAATTTAGTTCTAACATATTACCTAATAAAAAAAACAATTATAGACAATTATTTACAATAAGTAAATTAATACTCCGAAAAGCAATTTGCTTAAGTACAAAAATGAAATAGAATTTCTTAACGGATAAATGAGCTAAAATCATATTTATTGTCAAACTAAATAAATATGTTCAATTTGTGAGAATTATAATTATACAGCTAAGTTTAATTGGACAAGTAGAATCATGACATGTGGCAAGTCCACTTTATTATCACCCACTCTTTTTGCATCAATCATTAAAGAGTAAATTATGTGACTAATAATTTGCCATGACATGGAAGTGGTGTTGATAATAAGCTATTATAATTTTCCTTATAAAAAATAGCTAGAGTTAAAAAAAAATGACAATATATAATTTGATCAGTTTTATTTTTTTCGTTAATATAATGAATCAAAAGTTATTTTTATAGCGTCTGAATTAATTTTTATACACGTAAAATAATTTCATGGGATATCCTTACAATCTCTATCAATAACGAGCATTACTATAATCATAAATCATTATATCTACCACGACTAGAATATATGAGAATTGATAAGAAATTAAAACATCTTATATCTTTATTTTGTATAGTGATTTAATTTGAATCAAAAACCTCGTAATTTTCAATTCACGAGTACTTCATTGTCATGTTACACCTTTAAATGCATTGTCATGTTTGCTAATTAGTTAAACTATTACTATAATCAATAATTAGGACTCTAAGTAGAGCTATTTCAGAAAGTTATTGATTTTTCAAGTATATCCATTTTGCATGGCCTAAAATAAAAGAGAAAAAAAGAAGATTACATCACACAACAATAAAGTGTATCTTCAGTACTCCCAATAGCTAAACACTTCTAATTAACAAATATAATCTTTGATCCAACCACCATTAACATGAAACATGTTTACATCAAATTTGACTAATTAATATAGTAAAATGAAACGTCATTACGATCGTTTTGGTCACAATTATAATTCCGCCATTCATTAAAAATTATGGTCAAAAGGCAATACAAAAAGAGATTGCAACTTGTAGACCAATAGGATGAATACGTATTTCTCTAAAGATAAGAAGTTTATGTTATGTCTATCCAGTTCCTATTTGCAACTACTCTATCATCGTGATAAAACTCGATGGATAATTTAATAGCTCGATTGATTGGTTATCTTAACTTTTACTTTGTTGATGATGATTGGATTTTTTACTTTATAATATTCTTTTTATTTCTTCAACCCGAGTAGTCTTTTTTATAAATATAAATGTATTTAAAAGGAATTATATGTTACCTGAAATTCACTCAACCAATTAATTTTGATTCGCGCTAGTGAGATAAATGCTCCTTTAACAAAATGATATTGATTTGCAAGACTCAAATCCAGAATCTCGATTAAGAATAAAGAAAACTGTAATTATCTCATCATGACATGTCTATTCGTGGTTTAATTTATACGATTGTTATTGGGACGTTATTTCACTTTATATCTTACCAACACTAAACATATGTGAAAAACTATTCGATAACAATAATAATGACATACCTAGCAAAACCCTACCACAAGATAGGGACTCAAAAGGTAGAGTGTACATAGACTTTATCCGATCCCTATCTTGTGAAATAAAAATTATTCGAAACGTAATAATTGTTACTAACGAAAATATACTCATGAATAATGTTAAACTATATACATCTTCAGGTGGATCAAAATGATTATAAACTTGTTACACTAAAAATCTATAGAGTATCGTTTCTTTTGTCCAACACTCGATTGGCATGAGGTATATGTGCTACTAGTGGTGACAAATGAGCGAGTTGAGTTAAATGTTGGCAGGTTGAAAATGAGTAATCATTCAACCCGCCCATATTTGATATGAGTAAAAATGAATTGGGTAATAAATGAGTTGGGTAAAATACTAGTTTATCCATATTTTAACCATATTTCATAAAAAATAGTTATTTACTTAAGAATTCAATATGAAGAAAATATCGTAGTCTTTTTTTTTAGATAAAATCCGTTGAAATTGTTTCATTTAGTTTTATTTTATTACAAAAGTAAAATAAGAACTTAATTTTTTTTTTTGGGGGGGCGGGGGGGGGGGAGAGGGGTTGATAGGGGGCTAGCGAGGGAGTGGGGGTCCAGAATAGGGTGAAAAAATGAATATTTGAAGTTAAAAATATTTTTAAAAAATAAACTTAATATTTTTGAAGGGTGTGAGTTGGTTGGGGGTAGGGGGGAGGGGTAGGGGGACGATGGCTGGGGGTTGGGGGAGGGGTAAAGGGTAGGGTGAAAAAATAAATATTTGAAGTTGAAAATATTTTTTTAAAACAAACTTAATTTTTTTTTTGGGATGGGGGTGGGGGCTGATGGGAGGACGATGGTAGAGATAAAAAAATAAAAATTTGAAGTTGAAAATATTCTTTTAAAACAAACTTAATTTTTTTTGGGGGTAGGTGGGTGGGTGGGTTTGGGTTGGGTTGGTGAGGGGGCTTGTATGGGGGTGGGGGTCGAGGGTAGAGGTGAAAAAAATGATTTTTTTGAAGTTCAAAATATTTTTTAGAAATAAACCTTAAACTTTTTGTTGGGCGGGTGGGGGTGGGGGGTCGAGAGTTGAAATATTAATAGGGACCCATATATGAAGTTTTGAAAAATCGCTTTTAAAACTTGTCAACGGAAGGTTTTTTGAAAATTTGGAGAAAACTTGCAATACCCGTGTATGACCCGTAGTTTAGCCATAATATACGCATATGTTAATTGGTATAAAATATGGGGTATAAGCCCAAATATTAACCGTATTTAAAAGGAAAAATTGTATATAATGACAAACTAATAAATCAAATTAAATGTTATAACCACACTTTTATTTAATTGTGCCTTGTAGCAAACTGTTTGTCAGTCAACTCTCTACCTCAAACTCTCGCTCGCCACTCTCTATGTCTCGTTCGCTCCCTCTCACTTTAATACAAACACAAGTGTATAAAATATGTTTCTATTTGTATAAAGCGAGAAAAATTGTATATATACATATATTTTCATTTCTGTCTCTCCCCTCTTTCTCCTCTCCCAGATCTCGCTCGTCACTCTTCCAGATCTACTTCGCCACCCTCGCCTAACGGAAACGAAATGTATAAATTGTGTTTCTATTGTATAAAGCGAGAGAAAATTGTATGTACACATGCATATATATATCTATATCTATATATATATCTTCGTCCTATACACTTATAATTATACAATACAAATATTTTCCTGCCCAATTTTCTTTTGTCTTTCTCTCTTTCTCATTTTATACATACACAAATTGTACAATTTATTTGTATACAACTGCTTTCTTTTTTTGTATACGTATAGTGAATCATACAATTGGTTTCTTTGTATATATAACGAATTATACATATTTATGTTCGCTATGCAACACAATTATGCAAACTTTGCATACAAATATAAATTTTATGTTTGCTATATGTGAAAGTTGCTCTATTTAAAATTACTCTTTCAATCCATATTTGATGAGCTATTTGGGCGGGTCAGTGAAAAGTTGACTTAAATTGCCAACACTACGTGCTACTTCCATCGGTATAGGTAAAAAGTTCAAGTAACAAATAAAAAAAAACACTAAGTATTTTATCTCTCCTAAAATTAAAATCTAAAATTTTATAATTTTCGACTCAATTTATTAACCACTCAATTTATACACAAAAAACCACGACTCCAACTAATATACCTATTAGTGTGACATTTTAATATTATTAAAATTATATCATATGTCACATTATGTTTACTGGTGGACATTATATTTGTGCTTCTTTGCTCTAATTAATTGTAAAAGAAAATGATCGTTAATTGTTAGTGACTTATGTAATCACCAACTCTTCGGACCCGTTTGACAATAGATTTTCCAAGTAATATATGAGGGGAAATTTGGCAAATAGTTTTTGTCTATATAAGTTATCATTATTTGACAATTTTTTTTACAAATATATCAATTCTCAAATAATAGTTTTTTCTAGTATTTGGGTCAAATATCATTTTTTGGAATCTTTTAAAAGTTAAAATTTTACACGAAACTTTTATTTTTATAAAAACATCCTCTATAGTAGTTGTTTGCATTGTATTACATAATTTTTTACGTGAATACTAAAGTAATGATGAAATATTCAGTGAATATGAAAGTGTTGATATGATTGGTGGAAATTTGAAGAATCGGCTCATAGAAACAAAGTCATGTGTTATGTCTACTTCACGATGTATGTAATGATGCTCCGTACTCCAAATGATCACGTTGCTCCATAGTCATGGACACTACTTGTTATTTATTGCAAAGAAAATTTAATTGACTTGTAAACATGCTTATGGTTAGTTTTTTGATAGTTTTTAAAATTTAGGGGTATAAATCATATTTTTTTAAAATAGTGAAAATATTTTCCAAATACTATGGCCAAACACATATGAAATTTTTCTCAAATTTTCACCCAAATAATATTTGTCAAAAATATTTAAAAATTTATAGTCAAACTCTAGCTTTATTTAACCAATTATTCTATCTTTATTTTTGTAATCTATCAATCGTTCACTTGTCCAATTTACTAATCATTATCTCCCTATTCATTGTAAGGAAGAATTCATCACCTATAAACAATGATCTTTCTTTTGTGTCCAGTGGCAAAACCAGTTAGATAGTTGATAGGGAAACCAATGAATTGTTGGATAATGTTAATTGAATAACGAGGTTTACTGTCTAATTTAGAATTAAAATAATAATTAATTGATATAATAACATAATTGAGTAACTGTACAAAAATTAATTTTTTGTTGGTCAAGTCATTAAAATAGTTTAAATAGATGTTTTTTTATTTCTTAAAATTTTGATTTTAAATAATATTTCATATTAGTACAATTTTTAATGAAAAATAATCAAATAAATCAAGTAACTTTGTAGTCATAGTAGTTTATTGCAGTACCCTAACATTTCTTTTTCTATAATTTGCTTCCATATTATACTGCTTTTATTTTCACGATAAATTCCTACCTTTTTACAAAGTGTTTGAATTCGTTCAAGAAAATATAAAATTTTCCCGTGCTTCCTTTTTCTCATACCTAACGTTTTTAATAATTTTAATTATATTCGTATCTTCTCTTTTAAGTTATATTCTGGGCAAATATGAGTTATTTCGAACAATTTAAGGGTAAATATGAACTATTTCGAATAGTTTAAGGGTACTTTTGACCCTTTTTCTTTAAGTCTATCTGACAGTGGAAATCTATTGGGGTGCCATGTGATATTCATGTGGCATCCACATGACATTTAATAATTTTCGTTTATTAGAAGACATTTTTGACCCAATAGTTTGACGAGAAGGATAGTTATGAACCAAAATATAGTTTAAAGGTATATTTAAGCTATTTTAGATAGTTTAAGGATATTTTTGACCCTTTTCTGAAAGCAAAATAATTGTTAGTATTAGTACTATTATTTTCAAAAAAGACCTAGAATTGGAATTCTAGTGGAATTTGGATCCACTGGATTATACATTTGAATAATTATCTATTGTATTTTGAAGTAGCAATTTTTTTTTTTATAGCTATAAAGTAATAAAATTTTAAAGTCCATTTTTTAAAATTATTTTGTTTTCATCCAATCGACCGTTACATATACAAAATTGTGTTGAGTTCTCTTCTTCACCATCATTCTCACAAGCACTCTTCTCAAAGCGATGAAGATGAGTCTCTCTCTCTGCAAAACCTTCAGTTTCTCATAAATGGTAGAATTTCTTAATTCCCCTCTCAATTTGACTTTTTCTTGGATCAACGAAATCAATTTTTTTTTGTGTGTATGCAGCAGAAAATGGCAAAGATGACGATGGCGAAAATAAAATTGCTGAGAGTCACGAGGGAGGTAGTTTTGGGGCAAATGAGGAGATACATTGGTTCGGATGTACTGTTCGTATTCAGGTACCTTAGGGTTGGGGGGCTTAGTTGATTGATTATTTGAATAAACCTTGAAATCAACTCGTAAGAATGGAAAATTTGGTTTATCAGTTTATGGATCATTTAGCTTTAAACATAGAATTTTGCTTTGCTTCAAGATTATCGCTTGCAATTGCTCACTGTGAGTGTTTATCACCGAGATCGCTGTGTGGAAAATTTACTTTTTCCCAATTTAGTATTTAACCTCTGACTTAGGGTTGGGGGCTTAGTTAATTGAATAATTTTTAGGTAACCTCAAAATCAACTCATAGGAATGGAGAATTTGGTATATCATATCTGGTGGTTAGCTCTTTGTTGTTACTGATTAGAATTAGTAATAAAACCTTCATGGATTATTTAGCTTGAAACATAGAATATTTACAAAGAAAAGGATGATCTTCAATGCTCACATGATGTGAAAATTATCTTCTCCGAACTTAGTCCTTTCCTCTAATTGTAGATTTACAAAGTTGAAGATTATCTATATCACAAGTCTTCAAGTGATAATATGTAGGGTCTCAACATCTAGGCTGGTGAAAACATATTCTAACTGAAGCCATAAGTAATCTGCACTACAACAACTTAAGGTAAAGTTTTGGAAGCTAAAATCAATGATGAAAATTGCTCCTTATATGGGTCTGCAACAATTATAACATGTGAATTAAAATAAACATAGACATTATCTCCATAAGCAAGATATGTACAAGAAAGAATGCATCATAAGACTCATCAAGATGAACCTGCTTTGCGGCAGTATGGAATGTATCAAAACCATTATTTGCCAGAATAGAAGTTGTCTGAAGGTCTAAATGTTTTAACAACTCTTGCAACAACCAAACTATGGCCATTCTCTGCCGCAACATACAGAACTGTCTCACTTTCTGGTTTTGTTTAGATAACAAATTGTTGGTGCTTTTGCTATGACCTATTTCTTTCACCTTTCCGAGGTTCCCTAGTTTTACTGCCAAGTGAAGTGGGGAATCCCCTTTTTTCCCTGGTGATTCTCCTTTTCTTCTTACCACCAAAGCTCATCTTTCTCTCCATCACTATCCGAAAACATTTTTGCTTTTCCATCAACCCTCTAAAGTTCTTCTACTTCTCCATCGTCCCATTTTGGAAATCTTCTGTTTCTCAATCACCTCGTGAAAGCTAATCTGCTGCTCCATCACCACCACCACCCAAATTTAATCCCTTCTTTTGTATATCACTAATTTATCCAGACAAATTCCCAACTTCCTTTTTCCACTTTCAAAAATTACAAAGCTTAAAACTTTTCATCATCATCAACTCAGTTTACTTTTGATTCTAACTACCAAGAAAACCCAAAATCAAACCAAAACTCAGAAACTCTAATCTAAGATGAAATCTTGGAGCTCAAAAAACAACAAATTCAAACTTTGATTATGGTGGGATGATGAAAATTTCAGCTCTAAAACATCAAAAGAAGCAATCTTTATCAAGATTCCCCCCAAGCAAAACAATCAACTCACATCAATATTCAAACCAAACCACCAAAAAAACAAGTTTCCTCCCGAAAAATAGAACTGAAAACCCCATTCTTGATGATCCTAGAAGTTAGAATGAGACAATAATGGTGACAAACCCCAAACCAACCAATAGATTCTCTACTCATTAAAAGTCAGATAATGAAAATCTTGAAAAAACAAAATCCAAATAAAGATAAACAATATTGAAACAAAAACACCATTACCCCATGTGGGATATTTCAATTCACATGTAATAATAATTGTAGTTTAAGCATCTTATATCTTGTAACAGTTGCTGAAAGCAATAAGTATAGTTATTTTACTTTTCTAGAAAGTTAGTCTCCACCATATGAGTTATACATTCAAAAATTAGATTTTTTTTTGGTAAAGTACATCATACAATAAGAAATTAAAGGTAAATGGCAATGTAACAGAAGAATAAAAGCTGAAGAAAATAGAGAAGAGAATTACAGAGGAATAGCTGAAAAAGCAGAAATATAAGAAACACAAAAATATTCTAATTTGTAAACCTATCAATAGCTACTTGTAACAAACTCCACACCTTCACATGTTGCCCAAAACATTCACTAGTCCCCTCTTCATTTTCACATAAGAAATCAGAAAAGCCTAAATAGTATTGTCATCAGTCTGTAATTTTCTTTCATGCAATGATTATTTGCTCCGTAGCATCGTGTTGATTCCTTTGGCAAGGAATTTATCTTGCTGCCTAAACCATATAGTAGTGGAAAAAATACAATAACATATCAACGGAAAATAACACTCCTGACAAAGTGACAAGAAGAAATGAAAATTATGTTGCCTCCAGTTTGATTTTTCTTGCTAAGTCTATGTATTAGCATAAGCAGAAACTTAACATGTACAAATTTGTGAAGGTCATCAGAACTTGACAATAGCTTTATCACTAAAGAAAATCAGGGACAACATTTCACTAGCATCCCCTTAATCTAGAGATTTTGTCATATTTCAGTAAAATACAATTATTGCTATTCCTTTAGACACACAATATATTAGGTAGCACAGACAAAACTGATGGGAAAACCAGAAAAGGGGAGAACGAAATATAACGAGGAAGCTATAAAAGGGGATAAAATACGAGAGAAAAAGAAAGTCTAGTTAAAAGGGAACGTCATTAACCTCAAGTTCTCCGCCTAGTATACATGTCCTACACAAAAATTAGTACCTTCAGAGTTTTTGAATCTTTACCTACTTGCTCGAAGGTGAAAGCCAGAGCAGAATTATGCACCATACCACATGGTGTGAGCTTGACAACCTGCTCTCATGAAATATAAGAAGACTTGATCTAATCTATAAAAAGGATGAGCTAACCAGAACGAGGCATTGTCTTCATTTTAATTCATTGATCCCTTTTAGTCATCAATTTTGAAAACATGATTTTTTTGAGTTTGATTATTCAACATGCCCAGATTGGTTATAAAGATCCCTTTTAAAGTAACCATTTTAAATGTGAGAAATGTCTTAAGCATGTCTTCTTCTGGTTCCATGATTTTATAGGTGTTCCTTTTCTAATCTCTTTTTTTTTGTATAATTTATGAAGCAACGCAGATCCATGTATATGCAGAGGATCAAGATTCATGGGATAAATAAGACACTTGGATCAGTTCATTATAAAAGGTTTGAATTACTCTCTGCCCAACTCTATTTTTCTTATGTCTTTTTTTGTTGCTATAAAGCGTGCCTTAAGGCGAGGCAGGGGCCTCTAAGCACAAAGCGTGCTAGGGGGGGAGAGGAAGGGAGTAGGTCAGGGGGACAAGATAAGCGGGGAGTGTGAGGAGAGGGAGATGGGCGAGGGGGGGCGGGGATGGGTCTGGACAAAGAGAAGAGGCGAAAGGGCGGGGTGGGGGATGAGAGAGAGGCATGCCTTAGGGCAAGTCATCGGGAAGGAATAGGGGTGTGCCTTAAGGCGGGGCGGGGGAAGGGGTCGGGGCACGAAGCGTGCCTCAAGGCGGGGCGAGGGTGGGGGGCCTTCGAGCATGGAGCGTGCTTCAAGGAGGAGGGAAGGGGGTGTCTCAAGGCACGAAGCTTGCCTCAAGGTGGGGATGGGGAAGGGGAGGCCTAGGGACACGAAGCGTACCTCGGGGGGGGGGG